CTGTCCCTTTGTGGCTTCTCCCTGCCTGCCTGCCTGCACAGTCCTCAGGCTCTGCGGAGGCTTGGGTGGGTGGAGCCCCTCTCTCGAGGCTGGGGCAAGAGTGATGGAAGTGTGCTCTCCCACTCCCGCCTTCCAGTACCAGGTCTTCCTGAACAAGGTGCAGGAGGCTTTCCAGTGCATCTGCTGCCAGGAGCTGGTGTTCCGGCCTGTCACCACCGTGTGTCAACACAATGTCTGCAAGGTGAGGAGGTGGGCAGAGGCTTCCAGACCTACCGCCTGCTCTCGGGGTTTCATGACAGGTGCCTCTAGGTTGTTGCCAGGGACCACCAACCTGAGCTCGTCCTGAGTTGGGTGCCTGAGGGTCAGATGGAAGCCCTGTGTGGCCAGGCTCAGCTGTCCCCTCACCCTGCCTATGTCTCATGCAGGACTGCCTGGACAGGTCCTTCCGTGCCCAGGTGTTCAGCTGTCCAGCCTGTCGATGCGAACTGGACCACAGCTCCCCGACCCGGGTGAACCAGCCTTTGCAGACCATTCTCAACCAGCTCTTCCCTGGCTATGGCAGTGGCCGGTGATGCCCTGCGGCTCCGCTCCAAGATCGTAGTGGGTTTAGCTTGAAGGTGTTGTCTGTCCTACATCTGCCCTGGTCGCCAGTTAACCAAGGCGCCTGCAGGGATCCTGTGTTCTGGCTACCAGTTGGACTGTTTTTCTTTTTCTTTTTCTTTTCATACAAAGCCTGCAGTTTATTCTCTAAGAGAAGGAAAAAAGAAACTGCTTTTTTTTCTGTGTGTGTGTGTGTGTGTGTGTGTGTGTGTGAAGATGGATTTAAGAAACCGTTCAGCCCCATACCAGACCTCAATGTCATGTTGTCAGGAGTTCTCACCCCAACACCAGCTGCCTAGAACAATCTGCAACTATCCTTGAAAAGGCCGGGCAGTCATCCCTAGGGCCTTCATTGGAGTCCTGGGGTCATAGGGCCCTGGGCCAACCTCAGCCCTGGCCTTGCCATCCCAACCAGTGCCAACCTAGCTGACAACTACCTCAGCGGGACTTGGCGGTGGCTTCAGGCCAGGGGACCAGCTGAGCCAAAGCTGCTTGTGCCTTGGCTTTTGCCCCTCCTCCCACTGTCCTCAGCATTGAACTGTTGAGTCCTCACCTCAGAAGCCTGGCTGGGGTGTGTACTGGCTGGGTGTCCTGGGGGTCTGAGGTGTACTGTCGCTTCCCATCTCAGCAACTGAGAGTTTCTGAATTTTTTCTTTTTTCTTTTTTTTTTATGGGATGAATGGTTTCAATGAATTTCTTTTGTAGTTACAGCCTGTGCAGTGTTTTCATTGGTTACTTTTTGTTTCCGTTTGTATCTTGTGACTTTACCAAAGTGTGCAGGCTGTACCTCAGTAAAACATGGAAACTGACCCAACAACTGCAGGCGACTGGACAGCACTGTTTTAAGGATCATGTTTTGGTTTTGTGTTTTTTTTTTCCTTGTAGATCGTTAACATATTGGAGAAAACAAAATTCCATGTGGATGTTTTCTAAAGTTCAATATTTTCAGATTTTAGAGCTCAGAATAAATTTGTTTTTCTGCAGATATATTTGAATATTTGTGTTTGAAGTGCTTTGTGGTCCTGTTGTAGACACTGGAGTAAGAGGCTAGGCTGATGAGAAAAGGGGCATAAAGGCACTCATCCAGGACACAGCTGGCCTCCAGCTTGGTTTTGCAAATAAAGTTTTATACACGCATAGCTGTGTTCACTCACACAGCTCTTTTGCTGTAGTCAGTACCATCCAGTAGATTGGACAGAAACTATACTCCTGAAAGCAGAAAGTACTTTACCATGTAAGCCTTTGACTGATAGTTTGCTGGCCCCTGTTCTAGAAGGTTCTACTGTTGTACGGAGAGCAGCACAGGTCTGTAAAAAACTAGATGTTAACGATGTATAGGGGGAGGCAGCAAGCCCTTATTTGTGAGACCAGAATCCCTAGCACCTGTGGGTGGGGAGGGCTATACAGGGCCTTGGCCTGTGGTTTCTGGTGTGCCTGTGTTCTGCACCGGGCAGTGCTTGGAGAAGGGACTGGGCTCCCTGAAGAGTGGTGCTGGGTGAGCTCAGCAGGGGTGCCTGTCCTCACAGCAGTCTCAGCAGCTGGCCTGAACCCAGGGGTGAGACTGCTTTAAAGATAATTAAATTCATCGAGTTGGAGAGTTCAGAGCGCCAGCTATTCTTGCAAAGGACCTGAGTTTTTGGTTCCCAGCACCCACGCAGTGACTCAGCCGCCTGCAACTCCAGTTCCAGGGTATTCGATGCCCTCTCGGCCTCTGCAGGTTCTGCATGATGCAAAACACCCTGACAAAACATACACACTGAAAATTTTTTAAAAAACTGAGTATGTAAGTAACTTTGGAAACCAGTTTGCACCTGTGGTTCCTGGGGTTGGAACTTGTTGCCCTGCTTGGCTAGAAGTGCCTTTACACAGCACTGAGCCCTCTCACCAACAGTGAGGTTACCTTTTAAAGACACTGGGGCATAGCTGGGTGAACGGGATAAGCCTGTCAGGCTGTCTTCAGTGGCTGAGATAGGAAGATCTTCAAGACTGGCCTGGGCTCCGTAGTTGACACCCTGTCTCAAACCTCACTGGGCATGGTGGCTCATGCCAGCACTTGAGAGGCAAAAATAGGCAGATCACTGAGTTTGGAGCTAGCCTGGTCCACAAAGTGAGTTCCAGGATAGCCAGGTCTGTTAGCAGAGGAAACTTGTCTTGGAAAAAAAAAAAAAAGCTATCAAATACAAAAACAGGATATGGTGCCATCCTTAGTACAATAGTCCAGGCTGACTTGGCATTCAGAGATCTGCCTGCCTCTTCTTTCCCAGTGTTAGAACTAAGGACATGGGCTACCATGTCAAACATTTTGGGACATACGAATGTGAGTGGGTGCCTCGGAAGGCCACGAGTATTAGACCCCTTAATGTTGAAGGTGGGGGTGGCTGTAGGCCACTTGACATGGGTGCTCTGGAAAAGCAGAATCTTTGGTTTGGGTTTTCAAGACAGGGTTTCTCTGTGTAGCCTTAGCTGTCTTAGAACTCACTCTGTGGACCTGGCTGGCCTCAAACTCAGAGATCTGCCTGCCTCTGCCTCCCCACTGCTGGGATTAAAGGTGTGTGTTATCACTTGAGCCATCTTTCTAGCTCAGGACAAGTATACCACTGTGTAGACAGAGGATTCCTGAGGGCAGAGCAAATTTAATAAAATCCACTCCTAATTAAAAAAAAAAAAATCTACCCATCCTTCACACAGGTCACCTGTCCTTGAAAATACGGTGGCAATGACCATACAATTCCATTCCTGCGTGTGGAGTGGCACAGACATCTGGGGGACTGAGGACTTCCGGGGCTGGTAGACATTGCAGTTCATTTGTGTGTATGCGTACACCTGCACGAGTAGACATCTCACCTGTGGAGGTCAGAGGACAAAGGACTTCCTCCACCCGGTGGGTCACACAGGTCTTCTGGCTAGAAGGCCAGCTTACTGAGGTGCCTCACCTTCCTGTTTTGAGACTATTGTACAGCTACATAAGACTCAAAACAGTCCTGTGGGCTGGCCTCCAGCTCAGGGTGATGGTGAGCTCTAGGTTCTCCAGCCTGCACTTCCTGAGAGCAGGGGGGCCGACATGACAATTGCTGTTCCCCTTACAATTACCACACTATGAAGAACAAGGGAAACAATTCAAGACTCGTCCAGCCTGGATGAGAGTTAGTGAATGACAGGCAGGGCTGGGGCAAATATCTTGGGTGCACAGAGCACTTGCTCAGGGCTACTTTCCAGATAGTAGACATTAAAATTGAAGGACTTCCAGTCCTACCCCATAAAACAAGAATGCCGTTGACCACCCCGCTTGCTCAAGTATGCAAGAAATAATAATAATGGGCCAGCAAGCAGGCTCAGTGGGCAAAGGAGCTTACAGGCCTGACAGGCTGAGTTTGATCCTGTGACCCAGATGGCAGGAGAGTCAACTCAAGAGTTGCCCACTGACCTCTGCAGGGCATACACCCACACATATACGCAAAATAGTAAAAATTTAAGGTTATAAATTCATATTGATGGGGACGGTATCAGACCGTAAGTAAAGCCCTGAGAGCCACAGCTGTGGGGCAGGGCTCAGACCCCTGTAGCTGCCATTTGGGCGCCCAGGCCCGCAACTGCTAAGCCGGAGGGCAGAACTTAGCAAATTTTGAGAAGCAGGGAACTGAATTGCTTCTTCCACTAAATTATTGCAAAGTTTGGCGTGGGCACGGCATAGGGGGCGGGGACCAAGGCCCAGTTTGGTGACTTCCCCAGGTGAAGTCACACGTTTTTAGGGAACTCCTAAAAGTCTGGGGAGGGCAAAATGGAGAGCTTTTGGGATTCTCTCTACCCTAGCCGTGCTGGAATTCCGGCCCCAGACCTTGAACCACCGGGTCTCGAACCACTCTCGTCGTCTCAGATCCGGGGCTGATGTTGTGCAGGAAATCACGTACTCAGCAGCCGTCCGATAACAGGGCGGAGCCCCGAGCAACCAGACAGCGATTGACATTCAGTCCCAACCAATCGGCTTCCAGAGCCCGGTTCCAAACACCAATCCGTGCTTCTCCCAGTGAGGTCCCGAAGGACTCGCTTGTCAATCTGCGTGCGCTCAGACCCGACCGCAGTCGGATTGGCTGTGTCTGTCTTGACGGGCGTGCTCCACATCCAGTGAGAGCTGAGCCGGTCACCAGGCACGTGAGTGAGTTCCGGCGCGTCCTCGTGGTTGGACCAATGAAGGGAAGAGGTCAAGTGCCTGCGCCCTCCTTAGGTCGCGAAGGGCGGGACCGCTCGGTGTTGATGAGAGGAGGGGCGGAGCTGTCAGCCGCCACCAATCAGCGTACGGGCGTGGGCTGGTTGCCCAATGGAGGCCGAGGAGGGGCCATCGCCCCGCCCCCCTGAGCCTTCGCTTCCCCGCCCGAGGCGCTTGCTGAGGGCTCGGCCGCGAGCGAGCGAACGATCGAACAAGCGAACGAACTGGGCGAAAGCAGGACCCGAGCTGCCGGAGAGAGCGAGCGAGCGAGGCCCGACGGGGGCGACGCGAGGCGGCCGAGCACGCGCCGCTTAGCCCGCTGTCCACACGGGGCCGCGCGCGCCGCGCCAGGTGAGTGTGCGGTCGGCGGCAGCGCTCCGCGGCTTCCAGGCCCCTCCGGGGGGCCGCGCAGCCGCCATGCCTGCCCCCGCCCGCGCCTCGCGGCCGCCGCGCACACTCTAGGCCGAGGCTTCGGCTGCGGCCTACTCGGCTCCGCGCGGCGGCGGGGTACGCTGCGCTTTTGTCCGCTCGGGCGAAGCTGCTGTTTGTTGATCGACAAAACGATTGGAAAGGAGGGTGTGTTTTTTTTTTCGGGGGGGACGATGGGGCCGGACAAAGGCGGGGCGGGGGCGGGGCGCCGCGTCCCCTTTCCAGGCCACAAAAGATGACAGCGTGGGTGGCCCGGTCCAGGCATCCCGTCAGCACCCCCAAATCCTTAAAAATAAAAAGCCACTCCAAGCCCTGCTCCCCCCGTTTGTATTTTGGTTTTCTTTTTGGAACACCAGTGCTGTCCCCTCCAAACACTCATCCATCATTCCTTACAAACTTGACCCCCTCATGTCCCAGAATCCGTAAATCACGATATAATCCGCATTTTTAAAAGCTAAAATAAATAGTGCACGTATCTTCTTTTGCAATGGCAGCCTTCCCACCTCGCGTCCGTCCTCTGGTCCCTCTGCAGTCCAGCTTCCTTCTCTGCAAGCCATGAAATGTGTAGTTGTCCGCGTGCACACCGGTTCAGGGCGTCCCCAGCAGACAGCCCGTTTCTCCAGAGAAGCCTGGCAAACCCGGGACAGCTCAGGGTGGCTTCCCTACTGCCGTGTCCGGGGGCTTTGGGGGGTTCTGCCCAATGCTGGGATGAGCCAAGTGGGAGTATAAGGGATTCTGGGCTGCCGGGGTCCAGGCTTGCAGATTTGATGTTGTAACTGGGCCTCCCCTTGTCCCATCTGTCTGACTGGGGGAGGGGAGAGGATGGCATTGCTTTAATAATTCAGTAACACCTGGGGAAGTGTCTTGCCGGAGTCGCTAGTTTTTTTTTCAACCAGCAGAGGGTGGATCAGAAAGCAAAAAGAAAGAGTGTGTCTTTCCCCGTGAGCGTTGGCTCAGCCTGGAGCCTGGTGCCAGCACCTTCTTAGACGCTGAGGATCTTGGTTGCAGAAGGTTGGGGGCTCCGGGATGTCTCTATGTCCCAATAGTTGTGTATCTGATAGTCCCCCTGCCGGGAGACTGCACCTGTCCCCAAACAACTCCTGCCTCAAAATGGGCTCATTACCTGCGTCTTCAGGGGCTTCCTCCCCCACCAGGAAAGGGCTAATCATTCTTTTTAATTCTCCCGTAATTACTGCCTTTAGAGCCACTGGGAGGGCGTGTCCCCAGACAGGGCCAGCCTTTTTTGTTTGTTTGTGTTTTGTTTTGTTACCCTGCTCTATTTTCATCTTCCCCTCCTTTTTTCTTTCTTTCTTTCTTTCTTTTTTTTTTTTTTTTTTTTTTCTGCAAATCTTGTGGGTGCCCTGTATCTAAACATGCAGGGTCCCTTTGCAAGACACTGGGCAAATCTTCATCCTTTCCCTGGGAGGTGAGAGATTATTGGTTTGCACAGATGGCCATACGGTGTTTTGGTGTTTGGGGTGGAAATGTCCCTTGCCAGGTTCTCCATGTGCCTGTGTATATCCAGGCGCACCTGTGAGTGTGTGCATTCTGAGCTGGGAATGTGCTGGTCTGAGGGACAAGTGATTCTCTAATCCTTTCCTCCCAGAAAGAGGGCTACTGAGAAGACATCCTAGTACAGAGGGGTCTCTGGAGACTCAGTCACTCTCCTGTGGATATCTGTCCCTAGCCCACAGCCTGTCTCCTTCTCCATTCCAGGGGGTCCCTCAATCCTCCCAGTCCTCCTACACCTGACCTAGACTTCCAGCTGTCGTTCCCCTTCCTTCCTCTCTTGGGCTCTGCTTGTTTTGCCCCAACTCCTCATGTTGTCCTAGGAGTCCCAGCACTGGTTAGCCATCTGTCCCTGTGCTACCTGACACCTGTGGGGAGTCAACTGGCTTGTCAGTTGGCATGTTGTCCAAAGCCTCCCTTCAGGGGCCTTCGGGCTCATTGGGAGTACTGGGAGGAGGCTGCTCTGGCCAGCCCAGCATCCACAGTGAGGTCACGGGTGCATGGGGAGGGGCAGAGGTGTGGGCAGCCGGATACTTCCTGATGCTTGTCTCTGGATCTGGAGGTGGGATGGAAGATTCAGGGCCTGGTGGCCTTGGGCTTGTCAGTTGCTCCAGAAACAAGGTGAAAGCTACCAGTCATCATAGCTTCTGAGTAGGTGGTGGCTGTAGGAGTAGGAGATGGCTGGCCTCTGGAGAGACCTGTCGTTAGAGGGCCCATGGGGTCTCACCATCCTTGGAATTAAGGTCAGTGTCAGAGTCCCAGAGGTCTGGATTGAGGTCCCTCCTGCAGGCAGGCCTCCTTTCTGCTCTGTCCTGCATCCTGGCTCCCTCTCCATCTGTAGAGTTGGTGCCCAGCACGCTTCTGCCCCGGGGTGGCCTTGAGGGTCAAGGGCAAGGGACCAAGAGCTTAGAAGCATTCTGCTCTGTCCCACTGTTCCCACTGTTGCCACTGGCTCAGTCCATTGTGACCAGGTCACCCCAGGGTGGCTGTTGAGAGCTCTTCATGTGCAGCCGGCCCTTACCCACAACCTGCCAGGACCTCACCCACACCCTGTACATGTGACTTGGAGCTTGCCCTTCAGCCCTGTAGACCCACCTGCCCCAAATCTGCCCTTGGTGCCCAGTGGTTCTGTTTGCTCCTGTACCCCACTGGTCTCCTATCTCCGGTCCAGGCCTGTGCTTACACAGATAGGATCTCCCAGTGACTAGCCTTGGCACCCATGCCCACCCTATGCATGTCCCACCCTGGCTGCCTTGGTTCTGTTGAGGTGGCACTGACACCCTCCCCATTGCTGTACCCCGTCCTGTTGCTTTGACCAGCTTGTCGCTAGTTGACCTGAGCTGACTCATTTCTCTGATCTTGGCCTTTTCCTCCACAATGATGTCTCTGAAGTTGTGAGGTGTTCCTACACTGGCAACTTTAGAGAGGGTGACAGGGACCCAGCGACTTGCTAAGACGGAAGTTAGCATCCAGCCAGGCGGGTCATGAAGGTGAGGCACAAGGCCCTGGCTTCATCCCAACACCACAAAAACAATTTCAAAGTCAGGAATTGATTTGCTGTTGTTTGTTTTTGTTTTTTTCCAGACAGGGTTTCTCTGTGTAGTCTGGGCTGTCCTGGGTTTGGTGGTCCCTTGTAGACCAGTCTGGCCTCGAACTCACAGAGATCCACTTGCCTCTGCCTCCTGAGTGCTGGGATTAAAGCCGTGTACCACTACCTAGCTGATGAATTGATTTCTTAAAAAGAAGTCTCAGATGAGTTGATTTTCTGCTCATTTCCCAGTGAGTGTGCTCTGCTGTGGGAACCTCTTGGCTGGATAAGGTGTTTGGGGCTCTGTCATTTTTTTCACCTGCTGTGCTCTTCACTGTGGGGACAGGAGAGCATGGGACATGACTACCCATATCCTCTCCAGAAAAGTAGTCTACTAAAAAATGAAGCTCAGGGCTGGGGCTGAGTAGACAGTGCATGCCTAGCGTGTGCTCAGCCCTGGGTTTGTTCTCTGGCACTATGTAAACTGTGTACAGACCCCAGCACCCAGGAGGTGGAGGCAGGAGGGTGACCAGTCAGAGCACAGCAGTAAAACCACAGAGGGGAAGAGGGTCAGGAGATGGGAGCTGCTGCTGTGCAAGCACAGGCCTGAGTGCTGATACCTGCGCTCACACAGGAGCTGCCTGTAGCCAGGTGTGCCTACAGCCCAGCTCGGGGAAGTGGGGACAGGAGGGTCCAGCCCAGCTCTGAGGGTCTCAGGGCTGCCAGCCCAGGGAAAATGGTGAGCTTCAGTCAGCAGAGACCAGGAAAAGGTAGAGGGTGATGGAGAACACCCATATTGACCTCTGGTCTCCAACACACGCGCGCGCGCGCACACACACACACACACACACACACGTACACACACATACATGCATATATGCATATACATGCATACACACACACTGGGCGGGTGTGTGGCTCAGTGGTGAGCACTCACCTCGAATATGTGAGGTCCTGGATTCATCCCAGCACCAGATGGATGTCAGCAAGGACCGAGCTTCCTAGTTAGGGGTGAGCTGCCTTTCCTCACCTTAGGTGACAATTCCTGAGCAGTTGTGAGCCTCAAAGGAGCCCTTTGCGTACCTAGCTTCAGGCCTCGTGGGATGCCCCCTCCCCTGGGTGACACATCCTGAGCACCCCAGCCTCTCTCTGAGCCAGGGCCAGTGGCTGTGGGAAGTACATCCATGGCATCCCCTAGAGGCGGCTTCTGCAGGGTGAGGGCCTGGTTGTGGGCAGGCAGCCACTGTCTGGAGCACCGCTCATGCCTGCCACAATCCTGTCTTGTTCATGTCCTGAGTGTTACAGGCATTCGAACTCACCTTTGCTGTGACTGTCTGTCCCCCTTTCTTTCCCTCCTTCCTTCTCCTCCCTACCTGCACAGCTTTAGGGACAAGTTTCTGCCGGGGGGGGGGGGGCGTGAAGATTGGGGCAGGGGTGGGGTGAGCTGCTATGGTCTGTCTTTCTGTCTGTTTTTCTGTCTTTCCTTCCTTCCTTCCTTTGTCTCTGTGCTTGCACATGTCTGTCAGGGTGAGTGTGGAGTGAGAGGACCTCCTTAGGTGTGGGGTCTTGCTTGTCTAAGGCCAGAGTCTCTTGTCTCAGTGCACACACCAGGCAGCTGGCCCTCCAGCTCTTACGTCTGTCTCCCAGCCCACAGGCTCCCACATGCAGCTTTCACGGTGTCCATCAAGTGGCAGCTATGTCTGTGTGTGCTGCCGGTGGAACACTCGGGCAGACAGCAGCCACAGTGCCCTTCTAGGGTCACTTCAGGCACTGGGCCTTTTGCTGCCTAGGCTGGCCCAGTCCCAGCCGATGGATGTGGAGCCAGATGACTCCACAGGAGGAGAGGCTGTGGGACGATGCAACCCTGGGGTTGCCTCTCACAGAG